TGGTCGGTTGCTGTGGTTTCTAAGAAGCCCTCCCCTAATCGATGAAGAGAAGAGGGCTGATTCGTGTGGTGCAGTGGGTGTCTTGTGTGGTCTGATTTTTTTTTGTGTGGTTTGTTTTTCGGGTGATGAGGTAAGAGATTTCTATGCATATTTTTGTTATGAATCAAATAGGAAATATGTTTCAGATCGTATGGTGGGATTTCAGACTATAGTGTGCTAGGGTTTATGCTGTTTTTTAGTGTGATTTGAAGGGGGAGTGGTCCTCATATAGTGTGGTGAAATTTCAGGTAGTCGTGGGGTAGGGTTTGTGGTGTAAAGAGTGCAATCTTCAGCAATAACAAGTGCTGAAACCAGTGTGATCAGTGTGATCAAGTAGTGTGCAGTGTGCYGAATTCAGTAATAACAGAATTCAGCAATGGGAGATAGCAGTGATAGCAAATCTAATGTGATGATACCTATTGACTACCTGAATGTTCAAATGACCTCCATTAAACTGAATGGAGAGAATTATGTACCTTGGGCTAAATTTGTAGAAGTTTTTCTAAAGGCAAAGAAGAAGGTGAAACGCATAAGGGAGGAGAAACCCTCCACTAATTCTCACGAGTATGATGATTGGGAACAAGAGGATGCACAGATTATCACGTGGTTATGGAACAATATGGAACTCAAGATTAGTGTAAATTTCATGTTTCTTGACGCTGCCAAAGATGTGTGGGACCACGCTAAGAAGTTGTGTTCTGGTCAAGACAATACAACCAGAGTATATCAGTTGTATCAGGAATACTTTAATCTGCAACAGGGCAATCAGAGTCTTGAGGAGTACTATGCTAGTATGAGAAACATTCATAATGAGTTGAATGTTTATCACCCCCCTCACTTCTGATGTCAAAATTCAGCAATAATAGAGAGAACAGCTTGATGTGACTCGATTTTTGATGGGACTGAAATCTGAGTATGAACCAGTGCGGGCTCAGATACTAGGAGGATCAACTCTCCCTTCCTTAGAAGAGGTGTTTGCTCGACTTCGAAGGACTTCCATTGGATGTACTGAGAACTCTAATGTTTCTGATAGATCAACCTTTGCAGTGGTAGCAGTGGTCCAGTATATGGCCGAAGTGGTGGTGGAGATCGGGGAGCTCAGTCTGGCCGTAGTGGTAGCAGTGGTCCAGTATATGGCCGAAGTGGTGGTGGACCTACATATAACCATGGTGATGGTCGTACTGGAGGTAGAGATTCAGGGGGAGCCCGTGGCAGAAGACGTGGCTCAGGTCCGAGGAGATGTACTCATTGTGGTATGGATGGACATACCATTAATTATTGCTATGACTTGCATGGTCCACCCTCAACTTGGGCCAATTATGCCATGACTAGTGACACCAGTTTTAGACAGGAGAGTCGTTCAACTGAGATGCCTCCTACATCCACAGATGTTCCTGAGAAGGAGATGGTGAGTGTTACCTATGATGAGTATGAGAGGTTTGTCCAATCCACATCTCAGTAGAACATGACTACTTTTGCACACTCAGGTATGGCTTCTTTGGCATCCACACCCAATCCCTGGATTATTGATTCTGGAGCCTCCGATCACATGACTGGAACTCCAGGTGTGTTTTCCTCCCTCTCTCATTGCTCAACATCACAATCTGTTACCCTTGCTAATGATTCCACATCTTCCATTTGTGGTGTTGGCAATGTTAACATGATCCCCTTATCTTTATGCATGTAACTCACTGCGGGGGTTCAAGGTAAGCAGAAGGCTGARTGAAGGAGAAGTCACACTCTACTAGGGGACTAATGCAACTGTTGCAACCGCGGCCATAGGAACCGTGGAGTTATTTTTTAGAGAAGGAATGATTGTATTGAAAGATTGTCTTTATGTACAAAATTTAAGGAGAAATTTGATTTCTGTTTCAAAACTGTGTGCAGATGGTTATTCTGTCTTCTTTAGTAATACGATTACTATTAAAAGAAACAACAG